TGCCGCACCCAGAGAGGAAAGCAGGAAAGGGAAGAGAGTGGGAGAAAAAGGAACTGGCAAGAAAGCCCTTTCTACAAACACATGCTGTCTCTCCCCGCCCCCGCACCCCCCTCCTCACACCCCCTCATTTCTCCGCAGTGGATGGAGTAACAGCTATTTAATTTGTTAAATAGCAGCGAGTACTTATGTAAGCACTCACCCTCTGCCGGGCACGGGGCCTGCAGATTGACTGTGGACGGTCTCACTATCTCCTCACCCCCTAAGGGGTGGGCACTGTTATGCCCATTTTACAAACGAAAAAACTGAGGCACTGAGCGGTTCAGCTACTTGCCAGAGCCACACAGCAGGGCCGGGATTTGAACCCCGGCAGAGTACTCCCTCCAGAGCAGGCCTGAGACCCCCAGAGGCCGAGGCGGGCAGAGGGGGACAGAGGGGCGGCAGGCCTGTGACGGCCGGAGCAGAGGGGGGACAGGGACTGGTCGGGTGACTGGAATTCCCAGCGGGAATCTTCGGTGTGAAGACTTTGTTTTGGAGGGAGAAGCAGAAGGACACGTACAGAGAGAGACACAGAAAAACAGGAGCTGGTTTGAGGGAGCCCGACTGGGTGGGTCTCTTCCCACCCCCACCTGCCAAGCCTCAGCGTGAACCCCAAGGCCGGTGAGCACCCGGGGAGCCAGGAGCCAGGTGAGGCCGGGGCCCGGGGCAGGGCGGCCGGCAGGAAGCAGCTGGCTGCTCCCTCCCGATGCTGACGGGGCTGCTGGCCGCGCTCCAGGGGCCGTGCCGTCCTGCAGAGGAGCCGTCCTTGCCACAAAGACACTGTGCGGGCCTGGGAACCAGAGCTCCCTCCTCCGCACCACAGGGGGCCGGCCGAGGGGAAGGGACAGGGACGGGGCAGGGGAGACCGAGTCCTTCCGGGAGACGTGTCAGCATCACCCGCGACGGCCTTTCTCAAAGGGCCACGTGGGCTCCCGGGAAGGTCGCGGGGACAGATCGATAGGATCGATCGGGGGCTGTGTATGAGCTTCGCTGCTGCGGCTCTAATTGGCTCTTTCAGCCGTGCAGTCAGCGAGGCGTGGGTGGCCACGCCTCTGGGGACAGAATCTGTGGGACCCGAGCTCAGAGGGCACGCACGGGGTTAGACGGAGGAGAAGGGACCCTCCCAGCTGGGAGACCCCGAGGGGGAGCCGGGTAAGCTGCAGAGGAAGAAGCCGGCTGGCTGGGAGGACCTACTGTGTGCCGAGGATTTGTCCTAGGGCCGTGGGCAGCAAACTTGCCGCTGGAGAGCCACATGCGGCTCTTTGGCCCCTTGAGTGTGGCTCTTCCACAAAATACCACGGCCTATTTTGAAGAAATGGCGTTAGAAGACGTTTAAGTTTAAGCAATTCGGCCCTCAAAAGAAATTTCAAACGTTGAACTGTGGCTTTTTGGCTCCGCTGACTAACGAGCTTGCCGACCACTGCCCTAGGGGAGCCTGGCCCTCAGCACTCCCGGAAGCACACGGGAGCCGCCCGGGCACTGGTCCGGGCATTCACTGGGCACCTGTGCCTGGGGACACAGCCGTGGACCAAACAGACAAGAACCTGCCCTCAGTGAGCCTGCATCGTACTGGGAGGGGCAGAGAGCGAGTAATAAGTGCTCACACGAGACACGTTCCCCAGAGGGGACAGGGCAGGCACACTCTGTGAGGGGTCAGCTGGCCAGAAGCCCTGAGGTGACTGGAGAGGAGTGTTTGCAGGCTGAGGGGACAGCCAGCACCAAGGCTCCCAGGCGGGAACACGCCCGGAGCCGCAGAGTGGAGCGGAGAGAGCATGGACGGACGGATGGGGAGGAGAGCTGGGGTGGGAGCAGCCGCCAGGAGCCAGGCCGCCCCGACCTGGGTGCGCTCGGAGTGAGAGGAGAGCCTCCAGGCGCGGTGCCCACCTGCACTGGGCTGCGTGTGCAAGATGGCCCCGGGCGCCGGGCTCAGAGAATGCGGTCTCTGAGGCCTCGGCCACACCAGTCAGCCGGCGGGACCCGGCTCCCTGCTCACACCGCCCTCCCGCAGGGGCTGGAATGAGGAGAATGGAGACCAGTGCATCCCCTGCCACCCTCGTCAGAGGCTCCGCAAAAGCCCGGGCCCTCCCCGCATAGCTTCCTGCGGAGCCGAGCAAGCCAGCCCCATTTTATAGGTCAGAAAACTGAGTCCCAAGGTCACACAGGGGCAGAGTTCAAACCCAGGCAGGACTCAAACCCAGGCTGGCTAACCCAGAAGTCTGGGTCTCCGCCTGTCTTAGTCTCACCCCTCCCTGCTCCCCGACACCAGCCCGCTTCCTGGGGAACGAGTGTGTGGACACAAAGGTGGGCAGCAAAGGTCCTCGCCGTGACCTCACTTCCTCCGGGCAGAGGTCAAGGGGCAGAGAGGCCCACAGAGCCCAAGGCCAGGGCCCCTCCCTCCCAGCTCCACCTCCAAATGCCCTGGAGGGAGGAGGGGTCCCCGAGGGTCACCTTCAAGCTGATCCTGGAAGGTGGGGAGCCCTCAGAGCACTTAAGGCTCAAACCCCAGCGAGAGGGGCAGGAATAGCCAGATCTGGTCAGGGGCGTGAGCACGGGAGAGTGGACCCTACGCCCCAGGCCCCTGGGAGGGAAGTCTATGGAGCCAGGGGCCACGGGAGACCCTCGTGCAGAACGGCATGGTGTGGGGGCCCCGCCGCCTCCCCTAAAGCCGGCCGAGAGCACCTGGGCAGGGCACCCTAGGGTGCGCCTGCAGCCCGTGCCTGCCCACGGAGCCTGGCGTGGACTCTGAGGTCCTGAGTGATCGTAGGGATTCCAGACTCCGGGCATCACTGGGTCCTGGTCCTGCCGGAGAGTCACAGGCTCCCAGGCTGCGCCCTGAGCGGGTGTGACACCCACCTCCGGTGGCACCACTGGGCCGAGCCCTGAGATGGAGGAGCCGGTTCGTGGACCATCGGGGTCCCCTGGCCGGGGACTGCTGGCCGCCCCTCCCCCACAGGTGGGGCCGGCCACATAAATCACCCTCTCAATGATATTTGTATTGATTATCTAGACTGGAAGCCTCAACTGGCTCCATTGTCTTGCCTCCTCTCCTGGGGCTCACAGATGGGGTCCGGTCCCCGCACCTGCGTTTCTCATGCGACGTTTAGATGGAGCCGCCTCAGTGCCCCGCGCTGCCCTGGGTGCTGGGGAGAGGGCCGGGGGCGGGGAGAAGCACATATTCCAGAAGGGGGAATCATTAAAGCTAGAGGTCCGCCTGGGCTGGGTCCCGAGGCCTCCAAGTGCAGGATCAGAACCGCCTGGGCCAGGGCGGGGAGGGAAGCACAGAGCCGATGTCACGCCGAGCGAGAGCCCGCAGCGATTCCCACGCGGGTCGCTGCTCTGGCCGCCCGGGGAGTCTCCAGGAGGGAAGCTGCAGCCCAGAGAAGGCAGAGGGCTTGCCTGGGGTCACACAGCAGGTGAGATCCCCCGGGGGCAGAGGACGCGTGAGGGCCAGCGGCTTCTGGAAGGAAGGGCACCCGATTGGCCCAGGCGCCTCTCCCTCCCGGGCCCTGCCTCCTGTCTCAGGGCGTGGACAGATGGTTCAGACCAACGTCTGTCCCCCCCTGTGCTCTCCCAGCCTGGAGGGGCCAGCCAGAGCCGGGGCACTCCCCAGGAGGGCACCTCCCTCCCGCCCGGGCCAGCCAGCTGCCCCTTCCCTGGCAGCAACTGGACAGCAGCTCCCAGGGAAAAGCGCCACCTGGGTCTGCCCGCACAGCCGGGCGTCCAGGAGGGGGGCACGGAGGGACGGAGGCCCCGCAGCCGCGGCAGCCGAGGGCCGGGGAGAGGTGGGGACCAGGGGCGAGAGCTGAGGTCCAGGGAAGGAGGCAGAAAGGGCAGAGATGGTGGGGAGGGGGCAGGCAGAGAGGACCAGACACAAAGAGGGGGGAAGGAGAAGGGCCCAGAAAGAGAGACACCTGGATGGGAGGAGCAGCCCGGCTGAGACAGGAAGGAGGGGAAGCGGGAGGACGGGCAGGGAGGCAGGGAAGAGTGATGGGCAGGGAGAGGGGGGAGGCAGCTGGCCTGAGGAAGCCCAGCCAGGGTGGCCGGCCCTGCCCGCCCGGCCTGCCCAGCCCCCAGTGGCGGTGCAGCTGCCACACCAGGGCCCTACCACGAGGTCAGTCCTGCCCTGGGGCTGCGGGAAAATAAATGGTGTCCGAGATAAAAGGTCCGAGGAATTATTTGTCTTGTTGTCACGTCTTGACTGCAATGGGCAGGGGCCGGCGGGGCATCGTCCCAGAAAAAAAGCCGGAGCTGGCAGGCCCCCAGCTCACACACACACACACACACACACACACACACACACACGAGACCCGGCCCCGGCCCCAGTCCCAGCCCCAGCCCCAGCCCCAGCCACAACCCCAGTCCCAGCCCAGCCCTAGCCCCAGCCCCAGCCCCCAATGCCCGGCCTAACAGCTCCCAGAACCTGGCCTGAGAAGGCAGGAACGGTGGGGCACGGTGGGGTATTTGCTCAGCATCTATCCCCAAACCCCCCTCCAAGCTCTGGGAAGTTGGGTCCTGTCCGTTTCCCTCACTGAGGGGCTGTGGGCTGGGGGCTTGGGCAGAGAAGTGTCTTACTCCTCCCAACCCCTCTGCAAAGGCAGGTGATGGTTCCCAAACAACGGATTCCAGGGTCAAGGCCAAGTTAAGAGGATGGTGGCCCGAGGCACTGTCCCCGTGTCTCCCAGGTACACACACACACACACACACACACACACACACACACACCCAAGCCACTGCTGGGGCTTCAGCAGCCAAGGCCCTTTTTGTCCGCCTCTCCATTAGCTCTCCCCACGAGGCTCTGGGGAGGCACCACGGTGTCCCCATTTCACAGATGAGGACTGGGCCCCACAAGGCTCCGAGCCAGGCGCAGGGTCACGCAGCCCAGACCGGGCAGAGCCGGGATCTGAGCCTGAGGTCCCTGAGCTGGGGAAGCGGGGGCCGCCGGGCAGGAGGGGGTGGGCACCTACCATACTTGTCGCCGTCCTCGCCGCGGGCGCTGATTCTACGGCCCAGGACTTGGATGTGCTTCCCGCTGGTCCGGCTGTAGAGCTGGTACAGCCGCAGCTGCTTACGGCTCACATCGTCGCGAGCCCGCGTCTGGTTCTCCACGTGGATCCGGAAGTCCACGTTCTCCTCGGCCGCCAGCACCTGCGCGGGGGCAGGGGCGGCGGTGAGACCCTCGGCCGTCCCGGCCCCCTGCATGCCAGGGCCTCACACACACTCCCAGCCGCCCCCCTGCCACCCCCATTTCCCAGGGGAGGCAAGCTGCCCCAGGTGGCCATGCCAGGAAGCGGCGGAGATAAGAATCAGGCCTCAGCCGAAACCCGTTTGGCTCAGCGGAGAGAGCGTCGGCCTGCGGGCTGAAAGGTCCCTGGTTCGATTCCGATCAAGGGCATGTACCTTGGTTGCGGGCATATCCCCAGTAGGGGGTGTGCAGGAGGCAGCTGATCGACAATTCTCTCTCATTGATGTTTCTAAGTCTCTATCCTGCTCTCTTCCTCTCGGTAGAAAATCAATAAAATATATTTTTTTAAAAAATGAGGCCTCACATCCACAGGCAGCAAAATCTCAGACATATGCCAAAAAAAACTTCTTCACTGATACTGCCCCTAGGGTAATGGAAGCTAAAGAGAAAAATAAACAAATGGGACTACATCAAAATAAAAAGCTTTTTTACAGCAAAGGAAACCATCAACAAAACAACAAGAAAGCCCTCTGTATGGGAGAACATATTTGCAAATGTTATCACTGATAAAGGTTTAATCTCCAACATCTACAGACAACTTATACAACTTAATAAAAGGGAGATAAATGACCCAATTTAAAAATGGGCAATGGATCTAAATAGAATCTTCTCAAAAGAAGACAGAAGGAAGGCCAAAAGGCACATGAAAACATGCTCAAAGTCACTAATTATCCGAGAGATGCAAATCAAAACAACAATGCGGTACCATCTCACACCTGTCAGAACGGCCAACATCAACAAATCAAAAAACAACAAGTGTTGGTGAGGTTGAAGAAAAAAAGGAACCCTCGTGCACTGCTGGTGGGAATGCAGACTGGTGCAACCACTGTGGAGAACAGTATGGAGTTTCCTCAAAAAACTGAAAATGGAACTCCCATTTGACCCAGTAATCCCACTCCTAGGAATATATTCCAAGAAGCTAGAAACATCAATCAGAAAGGATATATGCACCCCTATGTTCATAGCAGCACAATTTACAATAGCTAGGATTTGGAAACAGCCTAGGTGCCCATCAGCAGATGTATGATACATCTACACAATGGAATACTATGCTGCCACAAAAAAGAAAAAATTCCCATCGTTTACAGCAACCTGGATGGAATTGGAGAACATCATGCTGAGTGAAACAAGCCAGTCAATGAAAGAGAGACACCACATGACCTCACTTATGTATGGATGATAAAGAACATTATAAACTGAAGAACCAAAAGATAGATATAGAGACAGTAAAGCAACAAGCAGACTGTCAAATTACAGCAGGGAGGTTGGGGAGACCTGGGGGAGATAAGAGATCAACCGAAGGACTTGTATACATGCATATAAGTACAACCAATGGACACAAAACTCTGGGGAGGGAGGGTATGTATGGGAGGGGGGCATTGGTATATGTACAAAAATAATAATTTAATTTAAAAAATATATTTTTAAAAAAATGAGGCCTCAGTCCGTTGGAAGCTAAAGCTCACTGTCTTCCCACCACAGCCTCCCATCCGAGCAAGACGGGGACCGGGGTTTCCTCTTTGACCTTGGGCACACAATGTGCTTAGTCCCGGATTCCAGAGCCCCTGCCCGGGCCGCTCCCCAGGGGGCTGTGAGGAGATGGAGATAGGGGAGGGGTGGGAAGCACGGGACTGCGGTTGGGGTCCTTGGCGGGGAGGAGGGACCTGTCAAGTCTCTTCCCGGAAAGAACAGGCCAGAGCTCACGTCACTTCTCCCCAGAGCCTGATGCTAAGTAAGCCTGATGCCCTGAGGGTCCTCCCGCCCGCCCAGACCACCACGCATCTGCCCACATCCCGTCCTCTCCTGGAGAAGCCCTCGCTCTGCACGGCCCTCAAAACGCCCTGCATCCCTGGGACGTCAGCGCAGGACTGACCACATCCTCCACGAAGCTGCCTCTGGCTACGCCGACGCGTCCCCTCTGGTCTCCTTCCGGCCTCTCCCTGCACACCTCGCTCCCACATCCTCCCCGGCTCCTGCTCCCACCCTCGCCCCCGGGTTGTCTACCCTCCAGCAAACCCTCATGTGACCCTCCCTCATGTGACCCTCCCTCATGTGATTGATCCTCCCCGGACCCTCTCCGGGGCTTCCTGTCACATTGAGATGAAGTCACCACCCCGACTGCTCTCATCTCCTATCACCCCCTCCCCGCCGGTCCCAGGCGGCCACGCCGTCCCTCGGAGCACATCCCCCAGAGCGCAGCCTGCCCCAGGGCCTTTGCACTGACTCCTCCGCCGCTGCCATGCCTTCCCCAGGTCTTCACCTCCCGGCCTCCCCGCTTCCTGTGGGCCTCTGCACCAATGTCACGTCCTGGCTGCTTGTCCGAGGCCAGACCCCACTCTGTCACTGTCCGTCTCTTGCCCGCGCCTTGCTTTTCTTCCTGACATTTATCAACCTGCCATAACACCTCTTTGTCTGGTTTTTGTCCGTCCTCCCCGACCAGGCTGGCAGCACCGGGGAAGCCGAAATGCTCTCTTTGTCGCTCGCTGCCCTATCCCCGGCATGCAGAGCACGGCAGACACGCAAGCATTGGTTGAGTGAATGAAAAGAGAAATGAACAAATGAACACTGGAAAGATCGAGAGCCCTGTCATTCCATGTCACGTTAGCTCGGGCTTCTGTATGGCCTGCTGATTGCATGCCTGCCCTGACTCATCCTTAACCGGAAAGCCGGACCATCTTAAAGTTCCAGTTTATTCCGTCGAGGCACACAGGACCTCCGCCCACTCAGCTCATGGCTGGACCCGGGCTGCAGCTGTCTCAGCCCTCAGCTGTGAGCGGCCAGGGCCAGGGACCGTGTTTCCCTCCTGGCTGCATCCCACACCCAGCCCGGGGCCTCTGTCCCCCCAGTGACCTGCACATCATCCTCCACCCAAACGGGGACCCCCCCAGGCACTTCCGCTGGACCACACCATTGAACCTTCACTTCCATCCTCAGACTGGAAGGGTTAACCCACTTTACAGATGAGGAGACTGAGGCTCCAAAGCTGAACAGACAAGGTCACAGAGCAGGCAATGGCAGCCCAGCTTCCAGCCTCTTGCTGACCCTAAGACAAGCCCTTCGGAGGCTTAGATACAATTCGCAAACACACTGCTGCCTTGGGTCGTCTAGACACCCCTGTGGCGTGAGAATGCTTAACGTACCCATTTAACAGATGGAGAAACTGAGGCTCGGGAAAGGGCCTGGCCGCTGGCCCACGGAGCATGCACACCCTTCACTCCACCACCCCCACGGCAGCTCCCCAGCCTCTCCTCCTCCCCGCTCCCCGCCCCCACTCCCAGCCAGGACCCCGCCGTGTCCCATCCTGATGCTCAGGGAGGGAGGCCCACCCGGTGGGCATGTGTCCTGAAGACCTCCCACCCAGAGCCTCCACCTTCCCGAGGCGGCTGGCCCCATCCCCGCCCCCCGGGGCCGGCCCCGGGCCTCCCTCCCTGTCCTCCAAGCCTCCTCCTGCTCACAGGAGACCTTATCGACCAGAGGTCAAACCAATCTCCTCCTCCGGCCCCGAGGGGAGCCGCCCTGCCCAGAGCCGGCCGCCCATTACCGGTTCTCCCCGGGCGCGCTGGACGGCGAGGGCGGTGACCCGGGGTCAGCAGGCGCTATCCGGCGGCCCTTCCCCAGGATGTGGGAGGGATCATCCATCTTGCCCAGCTTCACCACCCAAGCCCCGCTCTGTGGCCCCATCCATCCCTCAGGAGGCAGCGGGGTGGCCTCTGACCCGGAAACGGTCTTCCTCCAGGAGGCCCCTGGGCTTCAAGGGGAGACCTGGGAGGGCTCCAGGCCTTTGGGGGGGAGGTGCGGCCTCTGCCCAGGGCACCCTGCCCCCTCCACACACCTGACACCCGCCCTCAGGTGCCTCCACCCAAAGCCTCTCCGGCCCCGCCCTCCCCAGGCCCGGCTGGGGCCTCGGATGGGACTGCGATGGCTTCTTGTCCGGCGCCCAGCCGGTCTGGCTCAGCCCGGGCCTCTGGCTGCGCCCCTGGAGGCACCCCGCAAATACATGCTCAGCGACTGTGGCTGGGTCAGGGAAGCCTGGGGGCCCACGCAGGGGCCGCAGGGGCTGAGCGCCACCCGCGGCCAGCTTCCCCGTCGCAGGCACTCTGCTCAGGAGCCTCCTGATCCCCGCAGCCACCACGGAGGTGGCGCCGGGAGAGCCCCCTGCACAGGCCCGACCTCCTCGGCGGCAGCTCTGCAGCCACAGGCCCGCCCGCGGGGCGCACGCAAAGCAGCGACTCAGGAACACCCCCCTCCGCCTCTGCTCCGGCTGGGGGGCAGGTCTGTCTCCCCGCCTTCTAGAACCGTCAGGCTGCTCTCTGCCGGGACACCCTCCAGGAGGACAGTCCTCAGGGCGCTTACTACTGACTGCCCGACCTGACCCAGCCTGCCAGAGCAGCCTCCCCCAGCCCTGCTCCCGGCCCTGCCCCAGGCTCCGCAGGGACCGGGTGCCAGTGGGCCTGGGCCGCCAGCTCCCCACCGCACAGGCACACAGGCGGCTGCTTCCCTGCTCCGAGCTCCGCCCCCGGCCCCAACACCCGCAGGTGTGTGCCCGGGTGGGCACAATCTGCCATCCAGCCGCTCCCACCTCCCACGCTCCTCCCGAGCCTCCCTCTGAGCCTCCTGGCGGGGGGGGGGGGGTCACAGCTCTGCAGGCACAGCTGGGGGCTCCCTGTGTCTTCCCGGCCACAGGCCCACCTCCACGGACATCAGCCGCATCCCGCACCACCGTCCTGCACACACAACGCACACACACGTCACACTGTCCCACACACAGAGCACACACACGTCACACCGTCCCGCACACACAACGCACACACACGTCACACTGTCCCACACACAGAGCACACACACGCCACACCGTCCCGCACACACAACGCACACACACGTCACACCGTCCCGCACACACAAC